TTGTAACGTTGTCCATGGTGGATGTCGAAGCTGTTAGGATAACTTGTTTATAATAGAGTTCTTCATGACATAGGATTTCCAAACTATCTTTGCTTTATCTTTCTACGTTTTTTTTTTTGTGCGACCATTTGATATTCCGTACTATTGGGTCATATTGACAGATTCAAGGATTGTTAGGTCTCAATTCCCACATTTGTCCCCTTTTGGAAATTATATAGTTGTGGCAGCTCATGGGATTTCGTTTGTTTGTTAAGTCATTTAGAAATTGCAGCTTCCTAGTCATGTTTTGTTTAATATACTATCTTCATGTCTTTTTCAAAAAAAGAAAATTATTAGGACAGATACAAAGTTTGAGTTTACAATTGGAATTGAACATGCGACATCTTATTTATAAGAGAGTGTTTTTGCCGTTTAAGGTTATTGCCTGTTATTCTTACTTTGACTTGAAGGCAAACGAATATGCAATTACGTTGGTGTTTCTATCCAATTTTGCAGGCATAAAATGTTATGGCTTAAACATGATTTGTTTTATTGTTTAGTAATGCTTTTACTTTTTTTCGTTAAATATTATGTTTTCAAAAGCTTAACAAGTTTTTTTGGTGACAAAAGCTTAATAAGTTTTATATATGAAAGTTGTAATTATAAAATGTTCATCCACTTTTACCCATTCCAAACAAATTGATAGACTATTTTATTTTAATTACAACGTGCTTGTATGTCCATTTAATATCGACATGGTGGATGGAAAAGAACTTTGAACAGTTAAAAATTGACCCAAAAATGAATTGTGAAACAACTGAAATATGAAATTTTCATTACAAAAGTGTTCCCACGTGAAGTTAGACAAGCGTGCTTAACTGCAACTTGGCTTCTTACATGTCATAGACCAGCATATGCTATACATACACACCTATATAAATAAATATATATATATTTATGATTTATTTATAGACACACACAGAAGAAAAGTTATGGGACTGATTTTTTATTATATACATATTTCTTGCACTAGAAATAATGATTAATTAATGAATCATTATTCTTTCCCATCCTTATTATAAATACTTTTTTTAGATTTTATTTCTTTTTTGGCGTAAACTCAGAGTCTCCCCAAGTCCTTTAAACGGAAGACTAATCTCTCTGTTTTTTTTTTTTCAGATTTTATAATATAACATTTTTAAAGCATTATTTTTTTTACGCCTATTATCCCTAACTAACTATAAAATTTTCTAATTAATGAATCAAATTTTTCTAATGATAATTTTAATTTAGGATAATTTTGAGATTTTACTGGCAATAAATAACTTTAACTAACTTTTTCAATTTATTTAAAGTTATTAATTACAAATTATAAAAAGGACTTGAGGGCATAATTGATTACACATTTTTGCGTGCCACGCTTGGTGGGAGAACTTATCAGTTTAATTCTTTTATCAAAAATTTTGTCCAAAGTAATCAAAATACCATTGACACATGAGTTTGAGCCAGTGTGAATTGCATAGTCTCAAAACTATGAGTCCCATATTATTTATTAATAATAATAATTAAAGTAGACATGAAAAAGGCTTTTAATAGACTTGATTGGAGATTTGTTCAAGATGCTTTAGCCTGTCTGGGTATCGAAAACCATTTCATTCATCTTATCATGGCTTGTGTGCAAAATGTATGTTTTTTTTTTTAAAATACTCTTTTTAATTGTTCATGTTTAAAATTAAAAAAAATAAAAAAAATTGTGTAATTTAAATAAAGTTTTCGATTAGTTCCTTCATGTGGGAGTGGACGGGTTTTTTTTTTTGTTAAGCATAAATTCTTTTAGTAGCTCGAATCTTGATTCATTATATCGTGAGAAACTAGTCCTTCCACTAAATTTAACCCTCATTAATAGTGAACAGAGTATTTTAATTTGTTTCTTTCTCCTTGTATCTTCACGGACCTATATATATTTCCAGTTTCCACGCCATCAACTTGGCTTCAAATTGACAAACACGGAGAACAGAAGCCGCTTTATGATATGATATATATATATATATATAGAGAGAGAGAGAGAGAGGTGCTTAATTTATGAAAAAAGTTCTTACCTAGCTAATAACCTTTGTTTTCCTATTAAACAAAACAATAGGGCACCCGATTAATCTGATTTGTAGTTGGATCAACCTTCAATTAGGAAGAAGCTTTTCTGGTCATAAGATTCCAACTTGATACTTTATTCAATCCGCGTTCCATCTAATTTTGTTTTTACTTAATTTGTCCTGATTTGATTTGGGTTTTCATTTCATCTTTATATATATATATATATATATATGTCATGTTTCAAATTTTGAAGTATAATGATCACTTTTTTCATAATATAATACTATTGTTATACAAAGGGTATTAAATAAATGTAGTAAAGGTTTAAAATTGTGTGATATTAAATGGGGGAAAACTGAAAAAAAAAAGTAACGGAAAATCATAATCGGTAAAAGCTATACTGTTTATGTGAATCCTTCTAACGAGAAAGAATCACTTTGATGATAAATTGGTAAGACTAAAGTTGATCCTAAGTCACTTGATAAAGGATATAATATAATTATTAGCTTGAAAGTTAATATGAAAAATTTCTATTAAATCCAACTAAAATAATAAGATCTAAATTCAGGCCTATACCTTAATTACAGAGAGGTATTTTAATTTTTGAACAACATTAAAAAAATCCTCTATTAGGTTTACTGTTTGTTTAGGAGGGGAGCGTGTTAAAAATGTGAGTCTGAATTTAATTTTGTTATTTCAGTGAAATTTAATTGACCATTTTTTCAAAAATAATTCTAACATGATACATAGTTTGGACCAAAAAATTCTCACATGATACTCCTTTGGTCCTATTCATAGAACAGATCGAAAATTTTTTTTTTTGATTTTATTTATAGATACTAAGAGAAATTTTTACATAGACGTACAATTTTATCTTTTTTTGTTATTATATTAATTTTGTTTACTTGAGGTATAATGTATATCAAATGGAGATAAAGTTACAAATTCATTAAATTTTAAATAAGAGTTAATAAAGTTTAAGTTTTTTTTTTTGCCCGTGTGGAAATTTAAGATTAAAACTAGACGAGTACATTGATTTTATTTTTTTTCCTTCTTTAATAAGCGCTTTTCTTGTAAGGACAAGTAAATAGGGACGACCAACAAGCATTAATTATCATTCAATCCAATCATTAAATTTTATTTATTTTGTGCAGGACAATAGAAACTCATTTTCAAAGTCCACATAGATTTTTTAATCATTTCCGCAATCTTATCGTGTACGTGTAAGACGATACGGGGATGTTGACTATTCTCATGAGGATCTGACAGCTCAATTTGCTGTAACTTCGAAATGAAGGGGACTCAATTTTTTTAAAAAATGTCCAAGAATTAATTAATTGATTAATTTTTTTTAAATTCTTTCGTTTTTGGACGGCAAAAATAATTCAATTAATAGTTAATAGGATAGTAACTTATCATTTTCATTTGAACAAAAATATAAGTTTACAGTGAACAAAAAAGAAAGAAAGAAAGGTGAACTCCGCTAGAATTTTGTTATAATGCCACTAATCACATCATTATTAGAATTTGGTAGATAGATAAAAAGAAAAGTACATTTTTCACAATGTTCTTTTCTTTAATTTTTTTGAAATTAACTAAACTAGTAGACATAATTATATAATTATGTCAATATTCTATATGAGCATAGCCCTAATTTATTGCAATGATGTATCATATATAAATTTATATGTGAAAGTTCTCTAATATAATGCATCATAATAATAGTATATAACCTAATCAAGATTTTCAAAAGAAATAAGATATTATAGGTCGTATAATGTATAATATATCATGAACACTTATCAAAATTTGTATCATCCAAATAGAGGTGTGTATAATTCATCAAAAGTACATAAAAAAAAAATCATTATAAGAAGCATCGAAATAATATATATCGATATATATTATGTATAAGTTCTGAATTTTTCTTAAAATTTATGCAAATGAAAGAAAACATGGTCATTGTGTTTAAAATATGTTAAATTTAATGTCAAACAATGTCATGAGGTTTAAATTATTAAAGTCAAAAAATGTCATCGTCATTGGGATGAGTCATTTGATGAAAAATTTTCTATTCCCGTTTACCATAATTTTTCTTTATTACTCATTTGTTTACTTAGAAATTTACGTTGTTTAAGGGATAAATCGTGTTAAATACCCTTTTCGTTATAAATTTGCATGATGTAAATGCCAAATATTCATAGTTTGACTAATAGATTATTTATATTATTTGAATGATAAATTTAAAAACCTTTTTAATAATTAATTTATGAATTTGGTCTTCATTATGTCTTTTTTCTCAACTTTACCCTTTTTAAATGCATGAGAAATGAACTATACTAATAAAAGCAAGTAAATAATTTTAGTATGATCTTATGAGCATTTTATGAAAAAAAGACATTCATTATTCTCTTAAAAAAATCCACAAAATGCCTTATATACTCAAATATGAGACTTTCCAAAACATGCCCTTATAATTGAAACTGAGGTGCAATATTTTTATCTTTAGGGAACTTCGTACAAGATTTTTTTATTTAAAATGTTTTTGACCAATAAGGTCTGGTATAGTTAGAAGACATGTCTTTTGAGTATATGCTATATATGAGGGGTTGGATCAAGTCTTTGATGTCATGCTAAAGACTGGGTCATTTATCTTGAACAATTTTTTTATTTCTTTCAATTTGTATACGTTTCTGTGGCTAGTGGGCAAGATGTGAGATTTTTTTAAAGAAGTCAAACCCACCCCCAATTCGTCCCCCAAAAATTTGAATATGAAATGGAAGCCATTGACTTGGTAAATTGTATTAGTTAGCCTCCTTGAAATCACAAGCGTGAAGGGTCTATGATTGATCAAGTTCTGTTGTACGCCAAAGCTTAGTTCATATCTCATGATATTCATTTCCCTCTGAAGCTTTTGTCTTGTTTCAAGAACTATTGAGTTATGGACCAAAGAAACTCTGTGCTTCTTCTGCTATTGCTTCTGTTCCAAGTTCTGTTTGTAGCAACACAGAACTCCAATCGAGACTGTAAGTTCATTTCAACTTCCTAAGTATTTGAAATATATTCCAGGCTGTTAGTTTTCATTTTATGTGTGAAGAGCCTATTTCTCTCAAGGTTCTACTGATAATAATCAGAAAAGTTCATAACAGTATGATCTGGAAAATGGAAAACCTGAACCAAGGAAATAGAGTCTGTAAGTTGCTTATCAGATTGGGTCAGAGAGAACTGCAAGCTTAGTAATAATGATGTTGATCAGTTTAGGTCCAGAGAAGAAGTAAATTAAATCCAACAGATACAAAAATAAGCATAAGATATTTGTATATCTTATTTTGCCGTCTATCTAGCCACAAGATGCGTATCAGTGACTGGCCAAGGTCTCGCAATTACCCATTCAAAAACATTCTTCTTTGAATTTTTTGGTTTGAGAAACTGCAAAATTATAGTTAATCTTATAGGAAATGAGATTTTGAGTGAATCCATGTGATCTGTAATCTTCTGACATGAACCTTAGAGATTTATGCCCCAAACGTTTGTTTTGGATTGCTAAGTGTCACATTCTCACATTAAAATCTTGTACTTTCAAACATCAAACTCTAGTGAATTCTATTCTTTTACCTTCGAATAACAAAGTGCAGATTCATTTCTGAAGATTCTTTAATTCATTTTGTCTGGTGCAGTTACTGCTTTATCATCTCTCACTGAATTTTGGAAAACAAGCCACCAAGTTGGGTGGGCACAGATCCTTGTGGTGGTGGGAAGGCATCGAATGTAACAATTCGAGAGTGGCATCAATGTTAGCTCTAATCTCTATTTGTTACCATTATCAATTTTTTTGCCTTTTTCTTATTGTATTTATTTTTTAAATTCTAAACTTCCCTCCTTGATTCGACAGAAAACTGTTAAGCATGAACTTAAAAGGCAGGTTGACGGAGGCTATTGGGAGATTAACTGAATTAACGACTCTGTAAGTTTTCTCCCCTTAAATAAGTGAGACAGAGCTAATAAATCAGAATTCTGTATATATATGAATTTCTCACTGGGCTTCTTTCCTATGTTTACATATGAAGCTCAAAATCCTATATTATATTATATAGTTTGATCTAGACTAGATTACATCAGTAACTCTTAGTTCAATTGATTATATGATATTGTTTTTGTCTATATAGGGACCTCTCTTACAACAAAGGCATGGGTGGAAGAATTCCAGCTGAAATTGGGAATTTGAGTAAATTACAAATCCTGTAAGGATGACATTTAGCACCTAGAAGCAAATCATTCATAGTATAGCATAAAGTATTTATTGGTTTCCTGCTGGTTAATAATATACCACCCCTCATTCACCGATAATATGTTGCTTTTCTTATTGTTTTCCAGGTCATTGGTTGGTTGTGATTTCTCTGGTCCTATTCCTGAATCATTAGGAGATCTTAAGCGGCTGACCTTTTTGTAAGGATTCCATTTTAACAATTTTATTTTTGCCACCGCTGCTACTTTCTTAAGAAGCTCTACACATACACAAACGAGAAAAGAATAAGAGTTTATTCTTTTTTTTTTTTAACATACATCCTCAACCATAGTAAGGCTTTTTTTTTTAAAAACAAATTTAGATATTTTTCAACATGTTAGGAACTGATCGAAAACATTCTGAGTGATGGGCCTCATAGTGCCTGCAGCATGTGCTCCTTTCTTTGAAAGTGGAAGAAGTGTAAGACCTATCTATAACGATCAAATGACGACCAATGATGGTTACTCTTTTCTTTTTAGAAATTTAATTGTATTGCTTTACTGTATAACCATGTTGTGTTGCATATATTTTTGGTTCGGGAACTAAATGTCATGTTGATCTTTTCTCATTTGCAAAATCAAAATCAAAATCAAAATCAACATATTTATAAAATTATGGGAAGACTATTCATCAATTGTGAGCTATGGCTGATCACGAGCTATGTGCAAATGCGTGAAGTCCATATCTCATGTAGAAAATTCCCCTAAAATGTTGCTGATACAGCCAAGGGTTTTTCCAATTTAAGAGGATGATACTTGAAATTTAACATCTCTTTTAGATTGCCCTGGTATTTCTTTAGGCTGATACCTGGTAATTAATGTATGACTTACACTTACTGATTCTTATTCAGAGCTCTTAATCTTAATCGGTTGAGTGGAAATATTCCACGTACGTTGGGCAATCTATCCAATGTCAATTGGCTAGATATTGCAGACAACCAGATTGAAGGACCTATCCCTATCTCTGATGAAGAAGGACCTGGTCTTGACATGCTACTCAAAGCAGAGCACTTGTATGCCTTCTCTCTACATTAGTTTGATTTCATTAGTTTTTGTTGTCACATGGCCGCATTTTTTCTGGCTCAGCGAAGGACTTGATATGTCTCTATGTTCAACTTGTGCAGTCATTTTGGAAACAACCGCCTCTCAGGGGAAGTTCAAGCTAAGCTTTTAAGTTCAAAGATGATACTGAAACACCTGTAAGGTTCATTAAAACTAGAAAGCTCATATTATTTTTGTGATGTTGTTGACTTGGCAAATGTGGATGTAGGGATCCACACCTCCTACGATTTTCTTGGCTGAGTCTAAGGGTCTAGGAGTAACCTTACTATTATTTTAAGTGATTTTGTTTTTCAATAATGAACTGAGGATCATTTCATATGTTCTTTTGGTCAGGCTTCTTGACAACAATCACCTAGTTGGCAGCATTCCAGACACTACTGGATTGATAAAGACATTGACGGTGGTGTGAGTACCTTGTCACAGATATTATTATCCACAATCGATTAAATTTTCGTGACATTTTCGTTATTGAATGTTTTCTTTTGGTAACAGACGGTATGATCACAATCAAATGACTGGAGAAGTGCCTTCAAGTATCAAAAATCTCACAAAACTCACTGATCTGTAAGAATGCAGAAAAAATGGGTCAAATTTAACTTCAAAACTATCTGAAGAGGTTTTCTTTGTTTTTTTGTTAAGAGTCTTGTTAGTGAGAGAAGATATTGATCATATTTTTTCTTCAGGAATTTAGGCAACAATAAACTAAATGGCTCTATGCCCGATCTTACTGGATTAGATGCACTCGCCTCTGTGTAAGTAATAAAATAGTGATTACATTGGCTAAAATATTTATCCTATACTTGGGGAGTAACTAGCAATTCTTTTCCTTTTAATTAGATCTGCGAAATTACCTCACATGAAGAATATATGCTTATATTTATGCAATGTTATTCATATATCAAATGTTGTGCAGGGATTTGAGCAACAACTCTTTTAATCCTTCCAATATCCCTTCATGGGCCTCAAGCTTGCCATATTTAACTACACTGTAAGTTCTTATTATCTCCTTCATCCAAACACAACCACTATTTCTCCCTGTCCATCTTTTGAGTCACTTTCTGTGTGTGGCAGATTATTGGAAAGCACTGGACTGCAAGGGGAAATACCGGACTCCTTATTTAGCCAATCTAATTTAGAGACTGTGTAAGTAATCCTATCTAAGTGCATATGGATTTTGACATGTCCATATGCAGCGAATTCTTCCTCTCAAGTTTATGAAAACATTATGGTCATAAACTGATTTTTTTGAAATGTGGAAACAGGATATTGAGGAATAATAAGCTCAATGGTACCTTGGATGTCGGCAACAGCCTACCCAATTTGAATCTTATTGATTTACAGGATAATAGGATAGGTGACTTTGAACAGAAAAGTGGAGGAACCAGTTTTAATGTCGTGTAAGCTTCTTTCACCTAATTTTATTAGATTTTTTATACTATTTTCATGTCATTCTGACCCCTGGGGGAAGAGATTAAACTATTACCTTTTGACAAAAGGGAATTAACTGATTTGGTAAGAAGTGATAGCATGTCTCCTTAACTACTTTGGGTTATTTCTTTTGGCAGTATCATGGCGAGTGCGCCCTTAAAATTGCTTTTAGAGAAGAATTTGACTTTAGCAAAGTTCACAACTATTGAGTTCTATAATAATAAAAAGTGTTTCGAGTTTCTCTTCTCTAATAAAGTTATCTGATGTTTTTGCAGACTAGTTGGAAACCCCATTTGTCTTGAAACAGGAGCTACTTCGCAAAGTTACTGCAAAAGCTCGCAAACTAATATCACATATTCAACACCAGAAAATAACTGTATACCTCCTGTTTGTGGTTCAAACATGGTTTCCAGCCCAAACTGCAAATGTGCATTTCCCTATAGAGGAGTTCTGACTTCTAGAGCTCCTGGTTTCTCAAACTTTAGAAACACAAGTTATTTTAAGGATCTTGAGCATGGCCTGTTGACTACTTTCCAGTCCCATGACCTGCCCGTGGATTCTGTTTCTCTGACCAATGCATTCCAGAATTCTGTTACTTCTTATTTTAGTTTGGACGTAGAAGTCTTCCCATCTCAAATTGACCGTTTCAACAGAACTGGAGTTTTAAGCATTTCGTTCGTGCTTTCCAACCAGATCTATAAACCTCCAGAATTTTTCAGCCCTTACTATTTTTCTAGTAATAATACCTATGAATTCTATGCAGGTGATTCACTGTCCACTTTTTTTCTTTTTTTTTTTTAAAGACTAAGGAGGCGTTTAGCAAGCTGTAGATCACGGTATACCAAATGCCTCCTGATCACTCTATGATGTTCTTATTTGGGAAAATGATAGATAAAGAGTAGTGACAGATAAGACCTTTAAAAATTAAAATTCTTGTCAAGGACCGTAGAAACAAGGTACTACGGATTTCTAGTCAATTTCTAATGCCGCCTAAAATTACAATCAAAATTTTCCGATGTTATGAAACTACCCCCCCCCCCCCCAAAAAAGGGGGGGGGGGGAATAAACTAAAACATCCTTGAAATATTGGGATCATCAGGTTATAATTTTGGGTAGCATGAATGATAACATTAGGAAGCCTCAATAACAAACTATTTCTGTGATCCTTGAGAGGAATTTTAATTTTAAAGGCTTGGCTGTCATTTAAATAAGATACGGATCTTTGACTGTCATTTGTTCTTCCTAATTCTTGACTCTCACTATCGTTTTATTCTCATGTCAATCAGAAGAGCCTTCATCAAGTAAAACAAATGGGGGGGTTATAGCTGGTGCAGTAGCAGCTGGTGTCGTCGTCTTGGTCCTGTCCATCCTTGTAGTAATATTTGCAATCCGCCAGAAGAAAAGGGCAAAGGAATTTGATCCTTTTGGTATAATTTCTTTGTTCCAGGCAATGGGATATTATCTTTGTTTTCTTCACTTGTAAGGAATGTTTTCCTATCAGTTTTCTTATTGTTCCAATGCAATGCAAATGCAGCAAACTGGGATCAAAACAATAAAAGTGGCAATGCTCCTCAGCTAAAAGGAGCACGGTGGTTTTCTTTTGAAGAGCTCAAGAAACACACCAACAACTTCTCCGACGCCAATACTATTGGAGCTGGGGGCTATGGAAAGGTTTACATTGATCCTTTTCCTTTTGTAACCTTACACGCATTCTCATTATGTTCTCACTTTTTTCTCCTAAGAATCTTTCCTCTGGCACTAACTTTAGAAACATAAATGGAATTTTAACTGTGTTGCAAAATCTGATTAGTCCATTCATCATCCTTATAAGGTTTACCAAGCTGTTCTTCCCTCTGGGGAACTGGTTGCTGTCAAGCGTGCTTCGCAAGAATCTATGCAGGGTGCTGTTGAGTTCAAAACTGAGATTGAGCTGCTATCAAGGGTCCATCACAAGAATCTTGTTGGTCTTGTGGGTTTCTGTTATGACAAAGGTGAACAAATGCTGGTCTATGAGTATATTCCTAATGGCACTATGATGGACAGTCTTTCAGGTACCTGAAATTTCTCCTTCCTCATTTCTCTTGACTATTAACAAACAAGACTCCTTTTTCTGTACTTCTTTTAAAAATAATTAAAAAAACACCTGCAGAAGACCCAGTGTGGAGATTTTCCTTATTGAATTGTGAAAAGGACATTTACAGACTGATTTCAGCACTCTGCGTTAAATTATCAGTCGTTCATGATATCACTAATGGCCAATTTTATACCAATTTAAGCCTAGAAATTGATGTTTCAATGACATTGTAACATATTGAATTTTATGTGAAGACTGGATGAAAATCTCCTTATATTTTCCATGACATGAAATAGCAGTACATGGAATTCTTGGACTCCCTAAATGAGGATCCCTTGGAGTTCATAAAGTGCATTAATCTTTCATTTGTCTTTTGTTTAATAGAGGAAACTAACCTATTTGGTTCGTAAGCATGCACTTCTTGCAGATCTCTTTCAAAAGATTCGTAGTCGAATCTTTCCCTTATCGTTTTACTTTAATTATTTTTGAAGTTTGAGGGAAACCAGTTTAAAGGTCAATCTAACGAGAAACCCCTCAAAATGGCCCCTTGGGTGGAATGAAGACACATTTCTTGATGTTCCTTGTGACTTTGTCTATGCAGGAAAATCTGGAATCAGAATGAACTGGATAAGGAGGCTAAAAGTAGCTGTGGGAGCAGCCAGGGGGCTTTCCTATCTTCATGAACTCGCTGATCCGCCAATTATACACAGGGACATAAAATCAAGTAATATCCTTCTTGATGACCACTTAAATGCAAAAGTTGCTGATTTCGGTCTCTCCAAACTCAAGGATTGCGACAGGGCCCACATCACAACTCAAGTCAAAGGCACAATGGTTTGTATATAATTTTTTAAAATGAACATTACTTTCAATGGAATCTTTGATAGTTCATAAGGCACGCAAAACTAGCTTTCACTATGCTGCTATACGATCACAGTACTTTGCAAAATTGGGAGAAGCCTCATCAATAACCTTCTGTGAAAGGATAAAGCATTTTTTTTTGGCCTGAAAAGGATGAAGCATATTTAAGGAACACAGTTATAACTTTTACATTCATTTTCTTCACATTTTCACCCTACTTATGGTTAAGGCTTATTATGCATACTTATGTGGAATGCTCCTGCAGCAGAAATATTCACCTCTGCGTGCAAAACCCTGTTCCTTTCCATTATACTCTCTAAAATTTCTAAGGGGAACAGAAGACCTGGACTTACATTCTTCATTCTTGCAGGGGTATATGGATCCTGAATACTACATGACTCAGCAGTTAACAGAAAAGAGCGATGTATATAGCTTTGGAATTACAATGCTTGAGCTGGTAACAGCAAGGAAGCCAATTGAGCAAGGAAAATTCATTGTAAGAGAGGTTCAAAGGGTAATGGATAGATCAAAGGAGTTGTACAACCTTTATGCCATTATAGACCCAATAATAAAGCAAGAGGGAACCCCAAAAGGTTTAGAGAAGTTTGTGGACCTAGCACTGAGGTGTGTCAAAGATCAAGGGGAAGAGAGGCCAGCAATGGCTGAAGTTGTGAAAGAGATTGAGAATATAATGCAGCTTGCTGGTTTCAACCCCAATGCTGAATCAGCATCAACATCAGAAACCCATGAAAATGTTAGTGGTGGGAAGATCTACCATCCTTACGTTGATGAAGATTTCGCCTACACGAGCGTTTTTCCACCAGTAAAAGTGGAACCTCAATAGAAGTTTTGGCATTTGGTTTCTTTTTTCTTGTAAATCCTTTTCCTCTTCAGATGCTTTTAATTTGTTCTGGCTTGTCGTGTGAAAAATGTGAATTTAAGAAGAAATTCAGAATCACCTTGCAATTATTCAAATTTGTATTATGTCTTAGAATCTCATATAGGATCCTGAGAAATTCTTATTAATTGTGAAAAGTTACATGTGTTTGTTTTTTCCTATGCTTGAATTCACTGAGGGAAGAATCGGACAGATCAAATTTTTGTTCACCTAGTGAGATAACATTTCTTCTTGTATACTTTTGTCATGAGGGTGTTTTTGCAATTCTGGATGAATGTAATCTTTGGATTATTGAACACTATGCCAGCTTAATTAGTTAGCCTTGTCATTGGAAAAAAGGATGTGTACAAAATAATGGGTTAAGACGCAAATTAGCCCCGAAAGTTTTCACTTGGGAGCGTTGAGTACTTGAATTTTTTTTTTGGTTCAATATTGCTCTAGAAGTTTAAAATCATATAAATTTTGGCCCTACTGTTAAAAAAATCAATATTAACTGTTAAAATAGTGATATTGATCATTAATATCTTTAAGGATATGAGACACAATTACTATAAATTTAAACTTTCGGAGTAATATTGAATTCAAACAAATTTTCAGGTGAAAACTTTTGGAACAAATTTGCATCGTGATCCAAAAATAATTTGTATGAGAATACATTATCTTACTAATTCAACTTCATGTTCTTTAGCAACTGCAAGTAGTTACAATGAAGCTCATTTCAAGATCTCGAGATATGAATAAGCAATTATCTATGATAAAAAAGATGGTCAAATCACGTCAAGCATGCTCCCTATGTAAGGCTGGAGGAGACATGGATGACAATATATACAATGAAATCCTTCAATAAATGGAATGATATATATTCAATTGTCGCAATGGGATTCAGTAACCCAATCACGGTTGATGTAGCAGTGGTAGACTCGCTTTGATAGAGCGAAGGAAAGCTCTGTCAACTCTCCATTACAATAGAATACAAACATAAAGGACACATGACTGTAAGAAAAATTAAAAGGAAAAGAAAAAAAGAAAAACCTTGCCAATTTCTAACTAAATTCGAAAATTATAAGGAAGAGAAGTAAGAGAGCGGAGAGAATTTGGGAACTAAAAACCATGAAAAAGAGAGCTACATTGAACAAAGAGAAGGAAAATGGCTAAAGGGGATGTAGAGTCTCAAATCTGAAGAGGGGATTGAGGGTCGGAAGACGGTTTTTGACTGGCTTGCCTAATTTGGTTCCTCCGTCTTGAGAACCACGCTCATGCTATTTATTAAATGCATGACAGTTTAGTAAAATGACAAACACGTGGTAACAATATCAAAAAAGAAAAAAACTACATGATGAGCCTATTTCCCTCCATGATTTTTACGCTTTTGCAACATAAGCATAACGGAGGGCGCATTGACCCTTTCTTTTATTTACATAATTCCAGGAGCTAATCAGGAATTCTCTATATTTTAAGACTTTTTTTTGGGATTTTTCCTAAATTTAATGTGAAACAATGTCATGAGGTTTAAATTATTAAAGTCAAAAAATTTCATCGTCATTGGGATGAGTCATTTGATGAAAAATTTTCTATTCCCGTTTACCATAATTTTTCTTTATTACTCATTTGTTTTACTTAGAAATTTACGTTGTTTAAGGGATAAATAGTGTTAAATACCCTTTTCGTTATAAATTTGCATGATGTAAATGCCAAATATTTATAGTTTGACTAACAGATTATTTATATTATTTGAATGATAAATTTAAAACCTTTTTAATAATTAATTTATGAATTTGGTCTTCATTATGGTTTTTTTCCCTCAACTTTACCCTTTTTAAATGCATGAGAAATGAACCATGCTAATAAAAGCATGTAAATAATTTTAGTATACTCTTACGAGCATTTTATTAGAAAAGACATTCATTATTCTTTTAAAAATCCACAAAATGCCTTATATAGTCAAATATGAGACTTTCCAAAACGTGCCCTATAATTGAAATTGAGGTGCAATATTTTTATCTTTAGGGAACTTCGTGCAAGATTTTTTTATTTAAAATGTTTTTGACCAATAAGGTCTGGTATAGTTAGAAGACATGTCTTTCAAGTATATGCTATATATGAGAGGTTGGATCAAGTCTTTTATGTTATCTCGATCACTTTTGTTGAACAATTTTTTACGTTCTTTCAATTTTATTAAATCTCCAAAGTTGCCCTATGCCAAAACGCTTGAGGAAGTCACGTGATAAGCATATAAATTTATTTTATTATTCTAAATCTTTCTCATCTTTTGTGCATGTGTCTATTCCTCCATGAGTCCTGTCCATTATATAAGGGACAATCACTATAGACCAATCCCATCAGTGAAATATCATACCAATATTCAATGGCCCTTATTGTGCGGTCCTTTTTGTTCTTTTTGTTTGTTTGTTTTTCTTCTTTAACTCAATCAAATTTGTATACGTTTCTGTGGCTAGTGGGCGAGATGTGAGATTTTTTCAAGGAAGTCAAACCCACCCCCAATTCGTCCCCACAAAGAAATTTGAATATGAAATGGAAGCCACTGACTTGGTAAATTGTATTGGTTAGCCTCCTTGAAATCACAAGCGTGAAGGGTCTGTGATTGATCAAGTTCTGTTGTACGCCAAAGCTTAGGTCAAATCTCATGATATTCATTTCCATCTGAAGCTTTTGGTCTTATTTCAAGAACTATTGAGTTATGGACCAAAGAAACACTATGATTCTTCTGCTATTGCTTCTGTTCCAAGTTCTGTTTGTAGCAACACGGAACTCCAATCGAGACTGTAAGTTCATTTCAACTTCCTAAGTATTTGAAATATATTCTAGTTGTTAGGTTTCATTTTATGTGTGAAGAGCTTATTTGTTAACAGAGAATCAGAATAGAAGGAATTTCATTCAACCACCGTAAATGGTGTAGTACAGTCACTATATGATCACTCTCTTCGCATTGGTCACGTGTAACGACTGATGCATAACTAACTATATGATGATCTCAGCATGTAATTACAATACAACCCTCCCAATTATTATTTACTCTATAGTCTGTCAATAAATCCTATATATCAAATACGTCCCCCCCCCAAAGAAAAGATGCTTGTCCATAGGGACGGTAGAAATAGGAGGTGCTGCTGTCGAAAAATTAGGGAATTGCTGTTGAATGGTGGCAAGGTCCTCCCAAGTGGCATCCTCAGCTTGAGAGAACTTCCAACGAACCAGAACCTAAGTGATGGGCAAGTTGTGACGTTTAATGATCTTACAGCTAAGGATTTCCTTTGGTTCCAATAAAAACTAACCATCTGTATCTGCAGGAGGCAGAGGACGAGGTGCAATAGCAGATGGACCAGTGTGCTTCTTAAGTAATGAGACGTGGAATACAGGATGAATCCGCGTGTCTGGAGGCAATTCCAACTCGTATGCCACCGCCCCAACACGCTTCAAAACTCTAAAAGGACTAAAGTACCAGGCAGCTAACTTATGGAGAGCAGAATTATTAAACAGATTTTTCCTGAACAGGTAGAGTTTTAAGTAAACCATGTCACCAACCTTAAAGCTCCGGTCACTATGGTGTTTGTTGGCTTGCTGAACCATACGGCGTTAGGCCTTCAGCAAGTGGTGCTTAAGTCACTACAGAACAAGCTCGCGAGTCAGACAAGTGCGGTGCACCACATCATTAGGAGAATCACCCGTGATATATGGCAGATAAGTAGGAGGAGAAACCCCATAAACAGCCCCAAAAGGAGTCATGCCAATAGCAGAGTGGTAATTGGTGTTATACCATAATTCAGCTAGTGGCAACCACTTAAGCCACTGCTTGGGAAAATCCCTGCTCATACAATGCAAGTAGCACTCTAGGCAGCGATTAAGAACTTTGGTCTGTCTATCTGATTGGGGGTGATAGGCAGAGGAGTAATGTAGATGAACCCCATAAAGCCTAAACAGTTCTCACCAAAACTTCCCACAAAAAATAGGATCCCTATAAGTCACAATAGACTTAGAAAAACCATGTAACTTGACAACATTTTATCCATGAAAACATGAGCAACTTCTATTGCAGTAAAAGGATGTTTGAGAGCGGCAAAGTGTGCAGCCTTAGATAGTCAATCCACTACCACAAAAATGGTGTTGTTGTTGTAGGATTTAGACAGAACGCTAATAAAATCCATAGAAAGTTCAGACCATACATTTTCAGGAACAGGAAGAGGCTATAATAACCCAGGAGAAGCCACCAGCTCCGGTTTAACCTGTTGACAGGTCACACATTCCCTCACATAATTCCGAACATCTCTCTCTATGCGCTTCCAGTAAAACACAGAGGAAAGACGCTTAAAAGTGGGCTGCATACCTGAATGGCCACTCACTTTACCATCATAAAAATAAGAAAGCAAGTCTGCCTGTAACCCACGATCTGCTCCCACCACTAATTTCCCTTTCCTTTTGAGTAATTGATGGACCCAAGTATACTTTGAATGAGACAAAGGGTTAACCTCCAAATCTTTGATAATTTTCTGTAATGCATCACCAAGAAACCAAGAGTTACAAACTCCGTCATACAAAAGCGACACTGGAACCGTTAATGCAAGGCAAGACCCCTCGCCCTTCCTTGAAAGAGCATCAGCCACCATATTGTCACACCCCTTTTTGTAAACAATGTCAAAATGAAGGCCCTATAGTTTATCCAGCCACTTGAGCTGAGTTTGATTTACATTCCTCTACTCCAGAAGATGTTTCAGAGGTAGATGATCTGTTCGAATGATGAATTTGCGGCCTAAAGATAAGAGTGCCACTGTTTGACTACAAAAACAATAGCAAGAAGTTCTTGTTCGTAGGTTGACAAATGTCGCTTGGAGGCTGCCAAGGTTTTGCTAGCAAAAGCAATAGGATGGCCATTTTGGGAAAGAACATCACCCAGACCTGAACCCGACGCATCAGTGTCAATGATAAAGGGATCGTTAAAATTTGGCAAAGCAAGGAGATAACATGGCTCGCTTCAATGTATGAAAAGCAGAATTGGCCTCAGTAGACTAGATGAAGGACTTGTCTTTCTTTAATAAATTAGTAAGGGGTCTACAAATAGCACCATAATTGTGAACAAAACATCAATAGTAACTAGTGAGGCCTTAAAAACTCTGTAATTCGCGAAGAGTGGAAGGAACAGGCCAGGCTATAATGGCTTCCAATTTCTTAGGGTCATCCTGGACGCCACGAATAGATATGGTATGACCCAAGTAATCGATTTGTGTAGTAGCAAAAACACATTTGGAAGCTTTTGCAAACAACTGATGTGCCCACAA